TATTCTAACCTTGATTGATACATTTTTTTAATTTTTTTTTGAATTTAATCTGACCTTAAAATTGATTTATAATGAATCCTTAATTTTATTCGATACTATTATCATACCTTGGTAAATTTAATAATCTAATTTTAACATCTGGTTAGAAATTTGATGTATAAATTTAAAATTTACTTAGCGATAATATAATAACAGTACTATCTGAATCGTATTAATAAAATGTCGAAAAGGTAATTTTACTTATCTCAAAACCAACTGACTATAATTTTAATTAACTAGAGGTGGAAAAATATTATCAACATGTTCTCTATTTCTTTTTAAAAAAAGCATATGGTTTACCAAATTTGGTCGTAATCTAGTTTGACAGGCTGAAATGTGAGCATTAGCGTCAGAAAACAACCTTTCACTTAGAACTGATGTTGCAGAAACACCAAGATAATCACGTGCCAATAATGATAAAATCGGAAAAGTATTTCTATGATCATTCTATCAAACTAGTAGATCGTTGATTGGTTTTGCTTCTGAAAGGTACATATAGTGAGAAATCTCATCCTCTTCAGCCTGCATTATTTTTCAAGTTGGAGCCCACATATTATCAAACATAAGATCAACATTTGTATCATTATTTATATCTTGTGTTGTTAATAAAATATTATCTTGATTATCTTTTAATTCTTGATATTTGTTTCTAAGTTTTGCTTAAATATCGATACGTTCATTTTGATCAACAAATCGAAGATCTTTAAGATAAGGATCTAAAATCATGGCCAAAACCGCAGTTTCTTCTGAATATCTCAAAACTCATCAAGAGAAAGATAAATTGTGGCTTTAACTTTGTCTAAAAGTCTACTTAAATTTATTTCATCATATTCACGACTATGCTCACTATAATATTCATGACTATGTTCACGATTATGCCTACGCCTTTGCCTATGCTTGCGCTGTGACCATGTTCATGACCACGACCACGACCACGATCGTGCCCACGTCCACGTATATGATCATGACCACAGCTTTTGTTTTTATGAATTTTATGATGACTATTTTTTAAACCATAGTAATTATCATTCTAAATCTTCAATATTGCTATCAGTACTACTATTAGTTTCACTGGTTTCATCAGTTTTACTGGTTTCATCAGTTTTATCTATATCTTCAGATAAAGCTGGTCCATATACTAAATCCATATAGTCATCTACTGTATTATTGCCAGTTGGGCAAATTTTTGTTTTAATAAACGCATATAAGGATATATTAAACTGATAGTTGGATATGTTGCACCAGA